CTCTGACGCCCAGAAGCTGCTCAACTGATTCTTTCAGGAAGAAAGAAATTCAGGAAGAATTTCTTCACTGAAAGGGTTGTCGGGCATTGGAATGTGCTGCCCAGGGAGGTGGTGGAGTCACCACCCCTGGAGGTGTTTCAGAACAGTCTGTTTAAGGACATGGCACGTAGTGCTCTGCTGTGGTAGACAAGGTGGAGATTAGTCACCGCCCAGAAGCTGCTCAACTGATTCTTTCAGGAAGAAAGAAATTCAGGAAGAATTTCTTCACTGAAAGGGTTGTCGGGCATTGGAATGTGCTGCCCAGGGAGGTGGTGGAGTCACCACCCCTGGAGGTGTTTCAGAACAGTCTGTTTAAGGACATGGCACGTAGTGCTCTGCTGTGGTAGACAAGGTGGAGATTAGTCACAGGTTGGACTTTGTGATCTTGGAGGTCTTTTCCAGCCTCGGTGATTCTGTGTGACATTGTCAATGCACCACTGCAGGAGATGCCACAAAATCCCAGACTGGGTTGGGTTGGAAGGGACCTTAAAGATCACCTGGTCCCAACCCCCATGGACACTTTCCATGATTGCCATCACTCAAAGAGGGAAACTAGTTCACAAAGGGAGAGTGACACCAGAGTCTGCAGTAGAAGAAACACATGATGGTCATGGTTGGCAGATTCTCAAGCTAATACCCAAAACCACAAGAGCAATAGAGGCCCAAAAGCACAGACCTTAGAGAGAGGCCTGGAAACAGGGAAAATCTGGAAAGAGCTGATCAGAATCACAGCAAGATAAGCAGAAAACAGAAGTGAATACAAAAGCTTAGGAAAATCACCCCAGGGATTGTTCATGAGGCAAGTTGTGAAGGATGTTGCCACCTCTGAGAAAGAAAAACCACACTTGAAATGCTCTAATAATGGCCTGAAAACCAGAGTAAAGCAAACATTTCCCAACCAGCCATCCAAGCACATCACAGGTAGAAGAAAACTGTCTCTCCCTGCTCAACCAGCCAACACCAGAACCCAGAGCCAGTCAGTGGCCTGGCAAACACCTCCAGTGCAGTCTCCTCTGTACAGAAAGAGCTGAACCAGAGCACAAACACCTCTAGAAACCACCAGCTCATGCACAGCCACAATCGCAGCTTGTGATCAGAGAGCTGCTGCAGCTCCTCTCTGCTCCCTCCAGCAGTCAGAGCATCTCCCTGGCACCCCACGGGTGAGCTCACCCTCTGAAAATCCCCAGCAGCACAATGCTGAGTGCAGGAAAGAGGCATTTTTGTGGCAGAGATTCCCAGAGCAGCGTCAGCTTCGCTGCTGTCACTCAGCGACCCAGGAAACAGCACAAGAAACCAAGTGAGGTTAAGCAACAAAGGTAGTAAAAGCCACAGTCTCTTCAAACTCTAGTTCTCTTCTGAGCCACAGCCTCTTGCTTGGAGCCCCTGTCCCTTCCCCCAGACCTCCCAGAGCTGCTGCTCCTGCTCTGGTTGGGGAGGCAATGAGCAGGGCTGGGAGAGCAGAGGGGCAGGACATGGCATCAGGAAGTCTGGACACAGCACCAGGGTGTTCCTTTGGGCACAGCAGG